CAAAACGACCGAAAGGTTAGAATTGATCAAGAAGAGAAATTAAGCCATAAAAGTAATTGATAGCAAATGAGGCCAAGGTGAGTGCATACTATAGATATAGTTCAAAGGAATTAAGACTTGTGATAAGTCTATTCTTATGTTAGTATTCATAGTACAATAGTTATGAACATGCATACATGATAATCATGATAAAGACATGCGTAAGATATATATATATATATATGGTTGTATGATTTGATAAATGATACATGATTCTTTTGAACATATTCAAACAATATATGTTATATGATAGGATATGGATGATTATAAGTACATGTGATATTTGATTACAAGGGAAATGACATAAGTATATGTTGATATGAAGTATAACACTAATGCCCATGTTATGTGATATGAGAGCTATAGGTATAGTTGGCATGCCAAGGTCGAGGGTTTCATAGGTCCTTCAGGACATATTTATAGGTCCTTCGGGACATATTCCACATGCCACTCAGTGGACCCTTATAAGATTTGTGGTGACAACATATGTGCACAACCTCTATGTACTCACATACCTTAAGTTCTCAGTAATGTACATGAGCCTATAAGAGATATCAAAAGTATTTACATGCGTATATGTTACCATATTGTTATTGTTTATATTGTATCATATATGTGACGTGACTAAATTATGATATGATTGTATTTGAGTAATTAGTTTACATGTTCATATTTATAGTAGATGCATTATTATATTTTTATGCCTCACTAAGTCTATGACTTAGTGTGTAAGCATTTTTACACGTAGGTTCCGAGGAGCAAGAGGATCAAGTTTAGGAATTTCAGAGCAGCATAGCTTTACTCAAAGATAATATTAGAAATACTTATAAAGTATGTATCTTTGTGTAATATAAATGTTGATATATACACAAAGTTGTTAAGTATGTATGCTCTGATCAGTTTTTGTAATGTGTCGAATGCTTATGTAAATTATTAACTTTATTTTAATGAAAGTTTGAATTTTCATGATTTTTATATGTTTTAAAGGTTTTAAATTGTTAATGTGACACATCGGATTCGTATTCGGGTCAGGTACAGGTTAGGGGTGTTACAATCTTTCCATATCCAGTGTGAACACCTATCCAAGGAAAGAATCATACTAATGGATGTAATTAGATATGATTGAGTTGGGTTTTCTTGATTTAGGAGATTATGTATTAATTGGGCGCATCTTAGCCGTTGATGTAAATAGATCTAGGCCATTAATTTAGAGGGAACTCAACTATAAATAGAGAGTCTCCCCTCCTCATTTGTAACATCTCATTCCATTTATTCTCTTGGGAGAGTGCATTTACTCTATCTCTTGTGTGCTTTGTTCCTAAGTCTCTTTGTGTTGTTGCCTCTATTAGGCTAGGAGTAGCTACGCTTGTGTTTGCACTTCCACACTATAGTCCAACCTCGGTGGCTTGGAGTAGTCACGTTGGTGTTAAAGCTTCCACATCCTTGAAGCCTTGAGGGCTTGCTTCCAACCTTGGTGAGTTTGTATGCTCACTAGGTTTGGGTAAGGCTTATTTAATCGTAGAAAAGACCTAGAAGTGTCAAGAATCGTCTAAGGTCGCACGTCCCATCATACCTTAACTCTGATATTGCGACAGTTTAGGCTTGAAGGTTCTGAGGGCATGACAATATATATATGTGCTAGTATAACTGCTCTACAAAATAACTAACAAGGCTCACTAACATAACAACTAATTGAAACTATATTTATAGAACATTTATTATTCTCAACAAGTATTACCTTATGATTATACATTAATATTATTGTCAAATTATAAATTAGCTTATGATTATACGTTAAAATTACCGTTCAATTATATTTTTTACTTTGTAAATTAATATTACCGTGTAATTAAATTTTTATATATCTCTTTCTTATATCAAATAAATAAAATTATAAATTACTTTGTGAATCTTAATTATGGACCATAATAGTTGTTTATTAAAAACACTGTTATGCCTTATGTGTCGGTATATTCGTTTTCCACATAAGTTTTCTCCCCCGTAATTTGTAATGCATTTTTTTTATAAATACGTGTTGATTACAATGTTATATATATTTAAAAATTTTTAATTAATAAACGTTCATTCCATTTGCTCGAACTCAAAACTTTAAGAAATAATGATAAATTTCTTAATTATTGTGATCACTTAGTTTGTGTAATTTATAGTGATATATAAATGTTTTTATAATTTATATTGCATCTTATTATATTTATAATATATGATATGGAATAAGATATGATACAAACCTATTTATTATTATGTTACATATAATAATTATTTTATATTTTGAAGCTATCTAGTGGTATATAAATCAGCGTGTAGTATAATAATAAAATTTATTATTTGAGCTTTTTAATCCTAGCCGCTTGCCCTTCTTTTCTTCCTTGCTTTGCAGAGGACGAATTAATTTAGTATTAGTCGTCAATCGTTTGTAATTTTTTTATTTTTTTATTATATATTTATATTTACGATGCACTTTTATCTGTCTTTTAACACGTTTTATTCTTTTATTGGTCATTTGGTTGTTTTTTGTTTTATTTATTTTTTAGGGTCAAATTTGACATTATCATAATTGATTAAGATAATATTTATTTATTATTTTGTTTATCTTCTATGCTTTAGATCTTCAAATTGAACTTGTATATACAATTTGTCACCGTAGATAGTTTTCTCATAACGATCAATTATGATTTACGATTGTTGGTGATCTTTCAGTATTTTAATCCCCTGTTGTGGTTCGTTTGTTGATGCAGTCAAATTTATTTGTATATTTCTTTTTGTTTGAATTTTTAAATTTCAACTTTTCTTTGTATACCCTTCTATGATCTCGAGTGACTAATTATTTTGTGTTATTAGTCATAGAAAAATATTCAAATTATATATTTAATTTCTAAACTTCATTATAATTTTAAATATTTTCTCCCTTTAATAAAATTAGTAGCTCTATTTGCATATAAAAAATATTATTTGAGTTTTGTTTGACATTAAGTTCCCAATAATCCTTTTCCTCTTTATTTAGAAAAATATATAAAGAAATTAGTTTTTACTAGATAAAATTATAATATTTTTTTGTTATCCTTCCGGTTCTAAGATTTTATTTACTAATCCAGATTGATTCGTGTTGTAAACCGGATTTTGGTGGGTGAGTCTGTCAGCAGAGATTTTCTACATACACAAAGACTCAAACTTGAGATCTTATTTAAACGATATTAAACTGATTACCACTTGAACCAACATCTGTTAGTAAATTATAACTTTTAAAAAATATAAAAAAAATATAATTGTAAATAAAAAATTTAGATAAGTTTGGCAATCGATGACAACAGGTAACAGCTTAGAAAGGAGCGTGAATTGGAGGCAAGCACTGCTTTTTCTAAAGTTGAAAATATCAGCCAACCAGGAGCCAACAGGGAACAAAATCAATTCCCCAGCTCTTTCTTTCTTTCTTGGGTAAACTACATGTTTAATATCTCAATTATTATTTTTGCTTTGTTTTCGTCACTTAAATACTCTTTTCAAAATTATATCTAATATTTAGTTTAGTTTCATTTTGGTAACTTGTCGTTAGAGAAAATACGGTGATGCTAATGTGTCATCATAAAATAATGTCACATCATAATTAAAAAAATGGCACGTTAATAGTTTTGTTAATTTTTTAACAGTGGATGATTAAAATGTAACGTTAGATATAATTTTGAAAGAAAATATAGTTGATGACCAAAGCAGAATGAAAATGATAGTCAGGGGTACTAATCATGTAGTTTACCATTCTTTCTTTCGTCTGAACATTACACAACATATTAAATTTAAGGGTCAACTACAACTTTAGCACCCCAACTATCACTTTTATTTTATTTGGTTATTTAACTATTTTTTATTTCAAAATCATATCTAATGTTATGTTTTGATTTTATTTTGGTTACACACTGTTAAAAATTAACAGAACTGTTGACATGTCATCATAAGATAATGCTAAATTATCATTTAATTTTTTTAAAATGTCACATTAACAATTATGTTACTTTTTTAACGATAGGTGACCAAAACAATATGTATGATTTTGAAAAAAGTATAATTCCAAAATTAGCCCCCAATATTTATCAAAATGGTCATATTACCCCCTATTCTATTTTTTGGAGCATTTTGACCCTCAACGTTTCATGTTAGGGCAAAAAGACCCCTAACATTTGACAGAATAATCACTTTGTCTTTTATTCTTTTTCTCTAAGGCATTTTAGCCCTATACGTTTATTTTAGGTTAAAAAAGACTCCTATTTTGGAGCATTAATCGCGTGTTATCTAATAATTTTCATCTATAGAGGGTGATTTTTGCCTCAAAGTGAAACGTCAGGGGGGAAATACTGAAAAAAGGAATATGAGCCAAAATGGCCATTTTGGTAAATGTTTGGGGGCTATTTTGGCGTTATGCCTTTAAAAAATAATAGCTAGGTGACTAGAATAGAATAAAAGTGATAGTTGAGTACTAAACATGTAGTTTACCATTACTTTAAAAAATAATTATAACAAAAAAACCATAATATAAATATGCAAATTAGTCTATTTAATTTCTTTGCTTCTTCAAGAATAATAGTAGTTGTAGTTGTACACGCTATTCTTCTCATTTGACTGCTCGAAAACAAAATTATATAAAGCCTCTTCTTCTTCTTCCTTCAAATTCAAAGCCATTGAAATTGATTTAATCTATTTTGACAGCCTCTTGTTTTAGACTTCCATTAATCATTATTATTATCCTCCTCCTTCCTCATATAAAATCTCTTTCTTTTCTTTTCTTTTCCGTCATCTTTTTTTCTCGGGAAAATTTTAAAAACCCAACAAAAAACAAGTGAGACACCTTCCTCAAAGCACTCACTCCTCTCTTCTCAAAAATCACCTCTTTTCCCTTTTTTATGGGGCTTTAGTATTTTTACGGCCCAAAGATACTTTGCATAGAAAGCAAGCTCCTTTATCTCTCCCCCCTCTGTTTTCGGCTTTAATCCTGCAAATTGCAGAGCAAAGTTTGGGTTTTGAACATAGGAGATGGTGCACCATCAGCGTTACAATTACAGTCAGTTGAAAAAGGGTGGAGATGATGAGGAGGAAGGGACCCTTGTTCTTGTTTGGACCAACCCTGGTTATTACAAGAGAAGAAGGACCAAGCTTTTCTCTTTCCTTTTGCTTTCTCTTCTCTCTTGCACCTTCATTTTGGCTCCTCACTTCTTTACCTTTTCTTCTCCTTTTTCTCATCTCTGTAAGTTCTTATCTTCCTCTGTTTTCTCTGTATGTGTGTGTGTGTGTTTCTGCGTTTTGACTTGTGTTGTATGATTTTTTGCAGATTCTTTTGGTGTACAGAATGAAAGCCTTGCTGGGAATAATCATGTGAATGCTCCTATTTGTTCTTCCATCTCTAATGGTTTGTTATTCTTTTATGTGCTTGTTTCTTGGAATAATCGAACAGTGCTCTAATGGATCCTCTTTGGGGTAAAAAAAACAGGTACAATTTGCTGTGACAGAAGCCATTTTCGATCCGATGTTTGTTTCATGAAGGGTGACATAAGAACACAATCTCCCACCTCTTCCGTTTACGTTTACTCGTCGAGAAACGGTGACGACGAACTTCAACACGAAAAGATCAAGCCCTATACCCGAAAATGGGAAACGAGCGTGATGGACACCATTGATGAACTGGACCTTATCTCCAAGAGACGAAATTCGGGTGTTCGCCATCGCTGCGATGTGGTTCATGATGTTCCGGCGGTAATGTTCTCGACTGGAGGCTATACCGGCAACGTTTATCATGAGTTCAATGATGGGATCATCCCTTTGTACATAACTTCACAACAATTCAACAAGAAGGTCGTGTTTGTGATCCTTGAATATCATAATTGGTGGGTCATGAAGTATGGTGACATCCTTTCACATCTCTCCAATTATCCACCAATTGATTTCAACCGAGACAATCGAACCCATTGCTTCACCGAGGCAATAACTGGTCTAAGGATCCATGATGAACTCACCGTGGACCCTCTTTTGATGAAGGAAAACAAGAGCATCGTCGATTTCCGACACCTTCTCGATCGAGCATACCGACCTAGGATTCAAGGTTTGGTACGGGGTGTTGAGCAAGCACAAGAGAAGATGCAACCAAAGTTGGTCATACTGTCACGAAATGGTTCAAGAGCCATAACTAACGAGAACGTTTTGGTGAAAACAGCAGAAGAAGTCGGGTTTCGGGTTCAAGTCCTGAGACCCCAACCAACAACGGAATTAGCCAAGATTTACATGGAACTCAACTCGAGCGACGCCATGATCGGTGTCCACGGTGCAGCCATGACTCATCTGCTGTTCATGAAACCTGGCTGCTCGGTTTTCATTCAAGTGATCCCACTCGGAACAGATTGGGCGGCCGAGACGTACTACGGGGAGCCAGCAAAGAAGATGGGATTGAGGTACATCGGGTACAAGATCAACCCCAAAGAGAGCTCATTGTCCGATGAATACGATGAAGATGACCCTGTTTTGAAAAACCCTTCGAGTTTAAATCAAAAGGGATGGGAATACACCAAGAAGATCTACCTTGAGCGTCAAACCGTGAAGTTGGACATGCAACGATTTCGGAAGCGGCTCGTTCGTGCTTATGATCATATAATCAGTACGAACCATCGGAAAACTCGACTCCGGTCGCAGTAATTTGCCGATTGAGATGTGATTATATAACTTAAATTCTTTTGAAACTTGATTGTTGTAGATGGAGGACAAGAACACACATCATATTTTGTAAACCTTTGTTTCGTATAGATTTCCTGTATAAATAAGCTTTTGTACAGCTTGTCACATTTCATGTATAAATTTTGCACATCATATTGTGAAGCCTAACCAATCCTTGAAGAATATCCTGCAAACCAGGATGGATAGAGAGGAGTTGGTCGTCTTTATTGAAAATTTCAAATTTTCATATAATTTAATTTTTTTATTGATAATTTACTTTTGCACTCTAAAATTTTATAGGTTCGTCTCTTAAAACTTAATAAATTCGTCTCATGTAACATAAAACTTTACATCCGTTCTTATGACCAACATGATAGAGCTATGCTAACGAAGGATCAAGATATAGTTAAAAAAATAAAACAATCATTTTATGCAATCGTCTAATTCTTCCATATCTAAGGTTTAGGATATAGGATATGATTTGAATTCTTTAATTTCGTAGAATAGATATGAATACATCGACGTGAGATTTTCTTGTTAGAGTATGCCTAAAGACCAATCATATGATGATTGTAATAATACTTTTATTTACCGATTTTATTGAATAAATGCATTGCCGCTATTATTTTCAGTTATATATATATGTGTTTAACATAAACTGGAAGATAATAAAGTCCATATAATGAAATAATTGTTATTATTAAAAGATCCCTAGTCAAGTATTATTATGGGCATGGACAATAATAATACGCTTAAGACTAACATGTTATTGATTGATGACAACGAGTTGTCATTGACATAGAGATGTCAGAATTGATACATGATTATATTGTTAGAGAACAATGTATTGGATTGACCCACCATGAGCATATGTCTTGGATTATTATGTGACAGTCATAACATTGCTCATGGTGATGACTATATGTATTATCCTTAGACTTGAGATCAATACTATCCCAACATATATTGTTGTATGTTTTGATGCAGCTAAACAAGCTCCGTAAATGGTTGCTCTATAAACACTGTTATTGAATATATCTCAATATATGTAGTGGGTGTGTATGATTAAGATATGATTTGTCCTTCTTACATAATAGGAAATATATCACAGGCCACTTGATTGAGTAAGACTAGAAATGCATGGCCATGCTCGAATAAGTTGATATCAGATATCATTAACTATTCGTTAATTAAAGTCTACTCTAGATATCAAGAAACAATATATGGGCTATACAAGTGTGACTATTCCAAGACTTGTGCCTATTCTAGATATAAAAGACATAAGGATGTAATACATAAAAGAGTTAATCACCAAGATGATATGTCCAATCATATTTTCTTGTAACTTAGGTGACAATGATATATTGCTAGATGTCACTCATTGTATGTAATATTAGAATTGTTCTAATAATTACTGCTAATGTTATAAGAACCTACAGGGTCACACAATAGGATTAAAACGAGCAAAGATGTACAATTTGTTGTACGTTACTAAAATATATCTAGAGTTAATTAAGTATAGGTTTTAATAATCCCGAATATTTAATTTCAATTAATTAAATATAGATTTAATTAATTTGAAATAATAAAATCCCCAATATGATTAGGGTAACTTAGATATAAAAGGATTATTAAATTTCAATTAATTAAATATATATTTAATTAATTTGAAATAATAAAAATCCTAATATGATTAGGGTAACTTGGCTATAAAAGGGTGTGTTAGGTCTAGCAGCCGTTTCAGAGAACATACACAAAATCTTCAGCTATTTTCTCTCAAAACGTTTTGGGGGAAAACAAAATTGCTTTTAATTGGGTGAACTGAGTAGAGGTCGAGAAGTGATTTCGTGGAGGCTTACGATTCGAACCGATCTACACCGTCAGTATTCATTGTTGTCCTTTGCTGTTTTTTAAGGAACCCGCTGTAAGTATTCGTATCTCTTCCTCCCGATTTTAGTTTTTCGTACTTGGATCGCTGGTGAGACCGTAGAGTTTTGTTTCCGCTGCGCTATGGGGTGCACCGATGGTCCCAACAGTGGTATCGGAGCCACTTGTACGATATGAATTTGGGTTAAATTTTTGGTTGATGCGATATGTATGAGATGCATGTTCTAGTTTTATCGATTTCAGTAAATATGCTGATATCATTGTTCGAATCGATAACCACAACGATTAATATGTTAATTTGTTAAAATGTTTTTCAATCGATTTGTTGCTGAATGATCTGTGGGAGTGCGATAGCAGATCATGTTTGGAAGTGGAACAATGGTTGTTCCGATGCAGAAAACATTCGGGATTGAAAATCCCAAAAGCATGATTCTGTTGATAATTGTTATCAAATCGTGAAGTTTTTCCATGTAAACAGAAGTATTGTTTTTCAAAAAAATCCCACCGCCCCTTGACCCTCATTAGCAGTACAAATTGAAGGCACATATTATATTTTTGAACAAAGGCGTAAGAAAGTGCATATATATATATGATATGTTTGTTTTGCATGGTGTTTGACATGCATGGTTATAACCCTTGTTCACTTTATAATGTTTAATTTGAAATACGGTCTGCGAGCCGTGCCTTTATATATCTCTTTTGTATTTCTCTTCTCATCTTACTCCATCGTATGTAAAACGAGTTTCTTTTAAAATTGTAAACCTATGAAGATCCACAAAGAGCAGAAGAATGACGAGAAGATGCCTACAGAGTAGTCTTAGGCTTTAGGGTTCTTGGTTCTCCCATTAGCTTGGGATGGACCACCTTAGTCATTGTTTTTGGGCTATAATCATTGCATCTTATTTATTGCTATATTTGTTATCAATGCAATGCATCAAATGATAAAATAAGAATAAATATTGATGAGATCAAAAAAAACCTAATATTAAAACGAACAATGATGAGATAATTACGTAAATCCCTCTTTATAATCTAAGTTAACTTAATCGTCCAATATTTACCCTCGTTAAGGCTTTGATCGATATTATGTGGGCTTTGCCAAAGTATTGACACATAAATCTATCTTGGTTAAACGCGAAGAATAAGCAAGTGATATTCCCCGGTTGAAATATTGGTAATAACTTAGCTAGGTTATTCTAATAGGATTAGAAACCTAGAGTTTAAATATTTGGATAAGTCATGAGATGACTTGAACAAAAGGTGTTCACCAAAATGAGGAGTTACATGAGATTAACTAGTCAACTGTTACTTACCTAAATAATCATTATCCTAAAAGAAAAGTCAAAGCTGATTTAGGAAATTGATGTATTATGGATCCTCACCCACTAGAAAAATTTTCGTTGATTTTTTTTGAAATTAAAACAAAGAGGGTTTTAAATTTTGAATAAAATAATAGGAGTAATTTGCAAATAAAATCCCATTTATAAATTTTAATTCGGTAAATTTACTTACTTTAATATTTCCATTGTTGCAGATTTAATGGAAAACAACACTTTATCAATGCGATCACTCCTTGAGAAGGATAAACTTAATGGCATAAATTTCCTTGACTGGTTTCGTAATTTGAGAATTGTTCTCAAAAAGGAAAAGAAGGAATATGTCATTGAGGAACTTGTCCCTGATGAACTGGCATCTAATGCTTCAAAAGATGACAAAGACAAATTCAAGAAATATATGGATGATATGTTAGATGTTGGATGTCTAATGCTTTCCACCATGACTCCTGAGCTTCAGAAGCAACATGGTTGCATATGAGATGATTCAAAATCTCAAAGAAATATATGAAGGGCAAGCACGTCAAGAGAGATATGAGACCTCTAAAGCTCTATTTCAATGTAAAATGGCAGAGGGAACTCTTGTAGGAGCTCATGTCATTGAGATGATGGGCTACATCCAAACGTTGGAAAAGCTGGGATTTCCTCTCAAAGATGAATTGGCTACCGATGTTATCCTGCAATCGTTGCCAGATAGCTTTAGCCAATTTGTCGTTAATTTCAACATGAATGAAATTAACAAGAATTTACCATAATTACTTAGCATGTTACGAACTGCTGAAAGTAATATGAAAAGGTTGGACCTAAGCCCATTCTGATAGTCCACAAGGACAAAGGAAAGGGAAAGAAAAAGATAGAGGCAAAGTCTAAGGGCAATGGTAAGACCAAACCAAAAGGGAAAAATGCATTGAAATCCAAAGGGGGAGTTAGAAAACAAGGAAAATGTTTCCATTGCGATAAGACTGGACACTGGAAGAGAAACTGCCCTGTTTACCTTGAAGAGGTCAAGAAGGCAAAAGCAAACGGAACGTTTGTTTAAGGTATTTATGTTATTGGTGTTAATTTGTCAACATCTACTTCTTGGGTATTAGATACTGGTTGTGGTTCTCATATTTGTACTTCTGTACAGGGACTGCAAAAGAGAATGAATATGGCTAAAGGAGATGTGGACCTACGAGTGGGAAATGGAGCAAGAGTTGCTGAATTAGCTATAGGGACATATATTTTATCTTTTCCTAGTGGACTTGATTTAAATTTAGAGGATTGTTATTATGTGCCTAGTTTGACTAAGAACATTATTTCTATTTCTTGTTTGGACAAGATTGGTTTTGAGATTATTATTAAGAATAATTGTTGTTCTTTTTATCTCAATAGTGCTTTTTATGGTTCGACACAATTGGTTAATGGTCTCTATATTTTGGATCAAGAAAACACCATTTATAACATAAATACTAAGAGATCAAAAACAAATGACTCAAATCAAACTTATCTTTGGCATTGTCGTTTAGCCCATATAAGTGAGAAACGTATATCAAAACTCCATAAAGATGGATTCTTAGATTCATTTGTTTTTGAACAATATGATGTATGTGAATCTTACTTGTTGGGAAAAATGACTAAAACTCCTTTTAATAGTAAAGGTGAACGAGCAAGTGATTTATTGAGGTTAATACATAGTGATGCATGTGAACTAATGAATACACAAGCCAGAGGTGGATTATATTACTTCATTACTTTTACCGATGACTTCAGTCGGTATGGATATTTATCTTATGCGCTATAAATTTGAAGCCCTTGAAAAGTTTAAGTTATTTAAAAATGAAG